TTGCTTCGGTAGCGGGAAGGGATTAACACGTGTCGGACCTTCAAAGGGCCGAAGGCGACGGTTATTGGCGGCTTTATCCTCTTTTTTCCCTCGAGGAAATTTTTGCACGGTACGAAAATTAAAATTTATACTTCTAACTTTCATATTTACAGCTCCGGCAATGCGATTCATGCTATGAATTTCAGAATACCTAAAATAATTTTTTTTTTTTTTACTTTAAATACTGCTGTCGAGTACATGAATCAGCGTTTCAAAAGACCAGCACAAGGCAGCACTTTACTGTGGTGTTCAATGTAATGTACGTAGTTGACATTTTTGTGCAAAAGGTATAAGAAAGCAATTCCACATCCATCTAAATTTCATGCGAAAGATAAAGGATTCGCATTCCGATTCGCCAAACGGAAAGCGAAAAAAAAAGGGGAGAAAAGTGGCGTCGTCCCTCTCGGGGTCGTCGTCACGTATGCGCATAATCACCGGTCAAGCCGTTCGGATCAAAACGTCAAGTGCGCGCTCCTTGGGCTGCTACTCGAGACAACTCGTCCGAAAGAAAACGACGGGGGGGAAAAGACGACAGAGGCAAATAGCGAGGGGGACGAAGAAAAGGTGGTGGTACACACAGCGGGGGAAAATTCCCCGGTCCCTCACGCCACCCCCGGAGTACCACGCGGGTTTCTTGCGAATCTGGAATTCGATACACACGCACACACACGCGCGGATGAATGAACGCTAAAGTGCCCTGGGAAACAGCTTTACATCCGAGTTCACGTTGCAAAGGCACTAGTCCAGAGCTTCCACTGCCCATGGTTGTGGTCTCTGCGATTTTTCTCTTCTTCCTATCACCCCATACTACTTCTGTAATTTAATGCATAGCGATTCCCTCGTCTCGGACATCTCCTCTTTTCGAACGAGAGAGAAGGGGGCCAAGGTAAGAAAACAACAGTTTTCCGTGGACCCAGCTTTGGGTCCACCCGCTAGAATGGACTAGGAAAAGCTCGAGTGGATTAAACGAGCCTAAAGTCATGGCTAAGGATTTAATGATTTCGACCATTTGGTCCCTTTATTTTTCAATTGCCCCACAGTTAAATGTCTACGTTTTTAGACTCCAACTATGATAATTGTTCCACTTGTTGGAAGGAGTGGGGGGAAAGAAGACGTGACACATTACGAGGCTACAAAAAAGAATGGGCTGTCAACGACGCATGAATAAACAGTCGCGTCGCGTACGAACCAATTAACCCGAGCGAGTGGACTCCCAGAGAACCCTTTTCCTTCTTCTCCTCCTCGCCCAAGCTGCTAGACGCGAGCAAAAATCGGCCGAGTCACGGCTACTAATAAATACTAGAGCAACTTTAGGCCAACCCTTTTTTTCTTTTCCTCCATCACGATGGTTAATACGATAATTCATCCACAGATGCGTTTCTGTTGTTTTTTCATACCCACCGTATGCGTAAATCGTCGTTTCATGCGTACACGATCGTCAAATGTATAGGAAGGCAAGACAAAGAGAGAAACGAAGAAACAATCTTGGTGTAACACGCGTACCAACATATACGCTTTCCATCCCCCCAGGGTTTGCTCGATGGGCCGGCGATCGCAACGGACCCCTAAGGCAGAGAGGAAGATCTTTCTCGCGCCTATGTACGCCATACTCTGTTTGCTCTCGGTCTCAACTGCACTGCCGATGACGCTCCCTGTGCGTACATGTATATATATCCACGCTCCGCGTATTATACTTTCCGCGCGCGTACGCGCCATACGTACGTATATCCTTAAGGCCCGCGGGCGCTTCGTCGACGACTTTCCCAAGGGTCCCTCCCTTCTTGGCACGGTTGGCCGTTCACGAGGCGGGGAACTCTGCTTTGCCCTTAGCCTCTATCTCGCGGACCTTTATACATTTTTCTCTTCCGAGCGATATTTTGTTCGAGCCGGCAATTAGTATTATCGTTACCATTAAGCGAGGGATTATTGCTCGTGAGAAGGGGGGGATAGGGTGTAATTAGACGGTGGATCTCTACCGCTGCTCGTGGAAAGGGAGAGTCTGCAAGTTGGGGGGTTGGGTTGTCAAACACATGATTCTACGAGTACGATTAGCCTAGTAGTATTTAAGGAAAAATGAGACAACGTAATCGACGAAAAAAAAAAAACCACGCGTACAGTTGCAATTAAATTTTCCAGCACTGCACTGATATGATATTTTATTAAAACACATACTTGCAGCAGCTTGAAACTCAGTGCATCCGCTGTTTCCCGCAGGGGGTGGGGGTTGATGCGGTCCGCGGCGAGTTCTGGCATTTTTTTTTTTTTCAGTAAGTACACATATATATCCGGCGAACGATCGTGTGCGCCCGTAGGCCGTATATTTTTCTAGACGTGATTATTATGGACACTTTCGAGCGGAACGTATATGTAATTACGCGGCGGCATCGGTCGACGACGGTAGTAGCTGTGGTGTTTGTAATTAAATCGCCGGAGAGAAACATGCTCTGTAGAGAAAGAACAACAAATGAAAAAATAAAAAAAAAGGACGGAACTTCGACATTGCGAAATAGAGAGGCAAAAAAATATTGCGCGCACACCCAGAGTGATTAATATTTTGACGTGTTTTTCGAGCTTTGCGCAACACGTGGTGTTCAAATTTTTTTCCCTCCTTTTTGTCTTGGTCTACGCGAGCGCTAATTGGTTTCCCAAGTAAAACACAACCAGATAAAAAGATGTAGTCACACGAGACATCTCGGCTCCTAATACACATTACATCGTGAGCCTCGAAGAGAAAGTTGTTATCCGCAATAATAATCACCGATACGTTTAAATACTCATTAGCCAAAAAAAGTACACAAAATCGCGTTAGCCGAGCAAAAATAACCAACGTATAGTATACAAGCCTATTGTCGATTATAGGCCAATGCATGGAGTGATGCAACAAAGCGCGAAATAAAGTCCTGCTGTTCCGTCCAGGACATTCAATTACTCTTGCCACGTAACTTATTTAAGAAATAAAGATGCAGAGCGGGAAAGATCATCGAGGGAGGTATAGCCTATATTGCAGGAGAAGAGAGCACACGTAGCGAAAGTGTCTTGGATGTTGGAGAAGAGAGTGGAAAGGAAGGAGAAAGCGAGAGAGTGAAACATGTACAGCACAAAGATATATCGGGGGCGGGTAATGGCAGTGGAGGGAGGAGGAGATGGATTGATAACCACGGGACGGCCGATCGGTACTGTGCACCCGTTACTTATCGACTAGCCATGTATATAAGGAGGGATGGTCCTGTACGTATAGTATAGTAGTGGCATAGTCGAGCCAACGACTATCATTTGCCCTTCTCCGCCTCCTCCACCTCGTAGGCTCTGTATACATGGGCACTATGGGATCTTGGACGGCATCGCGGGTGATCTATGCGTAAAAATGATATTCTATGCGCTCCAAATGGACCTCGGACGACACGATCGGTAATGCCAATCGTGATGCACGTGGCTCGTTGTTTAGTCCCTTCGAAGTTAATTGCGGCTCAAAATCAATGATTGCGAAACTCTGGCAACGTAATGGTGTTTGAAATGTCATCCTTACGTTTTCCACTGCCCCCGTTAGCTCGTTGAACGCACAACTCAGCGATACCAAATTGATAGTTTGCTCACGCGTATTGGTCGAATCAATTCCCATCATTATTGATGTACACGGAGATCTGATGCGCACTTCCCCCTCGAAAATAAAAGAACAGCACGCCACACGGTACCCATCAATTCCGTCGGAAATAACCGGAGAATCATCGTGTGCACTCCCCTCTTACCCGAGATTACACTATTTCCCTGTAATTGCGTGCAAATCACCGCAATTAATTAAGCTTCCACCAAAGAGTCGTATACACACCCTCGATAGGGGAAGAGAACAAAAAGAAGATGAGACCCTCTGAAATTCCAGTCTCTCGTGTCTATGTAAGCCTTCCTCGACGCGTCAGACGGTGCCAGTCGACAGACACTTTTGATATCGAGCGGAGGAAGAAACTAAAAATAAAAAGAAAGGCAAGTCGATCTGTGCGTGCGTATGGTTTTCGTGGGCACACACGCACACGTGTGTGTTCCTCTTTAGAAAACGCTGATGCCATGAACTACCCATGACACACGAGAGGCTCGAGCGTGATTTATAGGCGATGCCGGGCTCCCCTACCTTCCCTCCACCTCTGCAGCCTTCGGAGGCTGACGAGCAGCGGCCTATATGTGTTTTCGACTGGCTGACCCATATAATCATTTTCCTCTCCCTTTGCTCTCCCTTCTACCCGTTTGCCCTCCGTTTCCTTATATATTCTCCTTCGCAAAATCTCTTTCGTCCCCCTCACCCATCTCTGGTCAACAAGAGCTCAAACGAATACGTTGTTTTAGGAGGTAATTTTTTTTTTTTTTTTTTTTTTAATTCTACCTATACTTGATGATGGCGAGTTCGCGTGTTAGATTCGAGAATTAAAACGTCACGGAGCCTCCTTTGAATAATTCAGGTACTCGTATATTGAGAAAACCTGCAGGCGATTCATCAAACCCTGACCGAGTGTCCCGCCATCAGCCCACGCAAAGACACCAAAAGCAGTTCCGACGACGCGCGAAGGATATTTATTTTCCTTTTCCCAGATAAGTCCCAAAAAAAAAAAAAAAAAAACATATTGTCCAAGGCCTCGCTCGGCCGCAAAGAGCCGCTTCTAAATAACCCCAAAATGTCCACACGCGGTTGTCTAAAGAGCCCGCCCCCGGTATGTTGTACAACACAGTCGCCTGCGCACCGCAAAGATAAAAGAGGCTGCGCGCCCTCCATAAATCCCGCAAGTTTGCGCAACACGCGGTTACGGGCCGAAAGAAGAAGAGCCCCGAAAAGTCCCCTGCCCGTGGAGGACCTTGAGCTGTCCGGGCCCATCGGAGTAATTGGCCATCTAGAGAAGAGGCCGGCCATTTGAAAGGGCCGAAGGTCACGCGGATCGTGTATGTATATACATGCATGGAATAATAAAAGGACTCACCTGAAGATGCACCTGGCCGTTGTTGTCGACCCACCCGATGACCATGTCGACGCCCTCGCGGCCGTCGTCGCGAGTGAAGCCGAAGCCCACGTAGCCGGGCGTCTTGACCTGCACCTCGAATATCACCTCCGTCTCCGTGGGCGTCCACAGCATGAGGAAGTTGTTGTCGAGGACGGCACTGTGCTTCCACTCGATCGCTCGAACCGACTGGGTCACGAGGACCAACGCGAGCACCATTGCGGCTACCGGGCCCTCCTTTATACTTTTTCTCGTCGTCACTGCCATTGTGCACGGTGCGACTCTTTCAGAAAGAGAGAGGATTCTGTCTTGGAAACTGGGGTATGTTTACGTGCACTTTTTTGTCGAAGGAGGAGGAGGTGCGCTCACGGCGCAAGGTCTCACTGCGGCATCTGTAACGAACAAGATTACGGGCTTGCGTGAGTCGTCGTCGTACTTGTTACTTTGGGCCTTTTTTTCCTTATGTTTGTGTGAAGGTGCGTTTTAGGGCTGCTCGGGAGAAAGGAAGGGGGAAGTTGCTTTTGGGAAAAGAAATCGTGGGTGGCTTTTTGTTTTCGAGGCGCTGCTGTGGGGTGGTGCGCGGAAGTCGAGTTGGTGACGTTTGTTTGACAGGTTTTGTTGGGCCGTTGCATTGTGCTCGGGTGAGAAAAATCGTTCGGAGGGCTTAATGGTCCCATTTCTTTTGCTTTTGGAGGAGTTGTGGTTTCAAGGACGAGTAATGTGCAACGATATTCCCTTTTTTTTTTTTCCAACCCAACGTGCGACACTGTTTTTTTAAAACTTTTTACTTTTTCTTTCTTACTTTATACATTCGTGTGCAACGTAAGAGCTATACTGTCAAGTGAACTATGATTTTTTTTTTCTTCAATTTTTATGACAATTTTCAAGATTTTCAAATAATATCTAATAAAACGAATATTAAGTGATCCTTGACATTTACAATGACAAATGCCACGTTTTCATTGTGCACTTGTCAAATAAAAATTAAAAAAAAATATTACTTGCACTTAATACATCACTTTGCTGTTGATCGAAGTATAAAACTTATTGCACTTATTTCTGCTTCAACGTGAACACTACAATACGCATGTCGAATAGAGACACTTTTTCAGACCCTAGAGTAACCACACATGCGATGGCCACGCGTGTTACAAGAAATGACCCTCGGTAATATCGCCGGCAACGTAATTTACAAGATAAGAGTAAAAAAACACGCCTCTCGGTTAATTTCACACCGGCGTGGCAACGTTTTTTCTGACGGAAGAAAAAAAAGCGACGGATGCACGAGATCCTTACCCACACGCGCTCGCGTAACAGCAGAGTTCAACGGTCGCGCCGCTCACGCCATACACTGTACATGGCAGTGGGGCATTTTTTACCGATCGGATTGATATCGATTAAACTTTTGCTATGCTACATTTAGTGCACCTACCACATGTGAACCACAAAAGTACACGAGACGCAAAAGAAAAAAAAAAAATTTCTCTGATTGCTTCGTCTGCCCAGTTTGTGGGAAAACTCACTTGAGACTACCGTAACTCAACCCAATGCTGCCAACGATCCGACAATTTTTTACGTTGACAAAACACTGTCACTTCCGTTACTCGCAACTGCTGCTTATGCTATCACGTTTTAGCGAGTTTTACAACTGAAGTACTGCACGTGTAGAGAAGAGAGAAAAAGGTAAACGCAGAGACAACTCGTTCGAAATTATATTTCAAACACTCACCAAAGCTCCACGGATTTTGCATCGAAAAGCTATAAAAAAACGCGTAGGAGGGACGTAACTATTAACTTTTTTTGTTCATACCTCCCTCGACTTATCGAGCGAAGTAGTAACGAATTTACAAGGCGAGTTTCTACATTGCTCGACGCGAGTGCACTTCCAAAGTTACGAGCCTTCCGTCTTGGTGGAAAAAAATTTAATAACATTTCTTAGCTCCTCCTGTGTAGCATCACACGCACACGCAAGGATCATCGGTCTTTCGGCTGTAATCGAATTTACATGAACTTTTGCTCGCGTTACACCGATCTGAGTTTATTCCAAGTTTCCGTGATGGATCGCTCTTTTCCTTCTCCTACGGTGTTCGTGAAAAAGTGCCAAAATACACGGGTCCTGCCGGATATTGGATAAAAAATGTTTGCTCCCTCCCCCCCCCCTTCCAATACGTCACTGTTGAGTGACTAGATTCGAATTTGTTATCCACAACGAAAGGACATATTTCAATGAAAATCTACTACGATGAGGTACAAGTTTTTCATTACTTGACAATGATTCGTCTCGTAAAACTTTGGTAACCACATAAATAATATAGTTTTTAATTATCTCTTCGATTATCTCTATTGATATCTTTAAATAAAAAAAGGGGCCAGTGTATGGTCTATACCATCACTGTCTGTGGGACTTTAATTTTCAGTGACTTTTTAGTAGGGGATCTTCAATGAAAAATGTCCTTCCGTACATGAAAAAAGATATTCGTGAGTCCATGGGGTTTCTATCATCACTAACGTGACTAAAACAATTTTGTTAAACAGCAAGCACCCCGAAAACCTCGAACCATTTTTTTTATATGTACAGGGAAGCACCACACAACTAAGGCACCACATTTCCACCACTGCTGCGAACCTTTTTCATCGAAAGGACAGCACAAGCTTCTCTTCGCTTCTCGGGCAAAATTCACCAAAGTACTTTTAATTTTCAAAAAAAAAAAAAAATACAGAAAACCAGAAACTTGTCTAAATTTCACCAGAGATCGGTCAACAANCCCCGAAAACCTCGAACCATTTTTTTTATATGTACAGGGAAGCACCACACAACTAAGGCACCACATTTCCACCACTGCTGCGAACCTTTTTCATCTAAAGGATAGCCCGACCCTCTCTTCGCTTTTCGGGCAAAATAAAAAAAAAAACTTTTAATTTTCAAAAAAAAAAAAAAATACAGAAAACCAGAAACTTGTCTAAATTTCACCAGAGATCGGTCAACAAAACCGAAACAAAAAAAAAAAAACAAAAAAAATGGTACAAACACAGTGACCGCACGCTCGCGCGATAAACCGGTACGACGTTACATCATACACGACAACAATGCCTTTTATTTTTCGCGATCCGTGCCAATCGTAGCGATTTGTGGCACCGCGAAGCGCTAAATCACCGCGCACTTGTTAACTTTGCACGAAGCACGACGACCCGGGCTTTAAACTCGGGGTTAACGCAAAAGGTACGCTGACCGTCTCGGGCGGAGGATGGCACCGAACTGAGCATGCTCTCCCTCTCGGGGAATAGTAGTCCTGGAGCACGGTCCCCCTTTTACCGCACACTCCTCATACTTACACTGGGCACACAGACAAACGCACACTTTGTATCGCGCGCCGCACGCTTCTTGGGTGCGAGTCGCGCATGCGCGAGGAACTCGACTAGGGGGACCCCCCACTTTTGCGTGTAATGTCTCGGTGGTGCACGCCGCACCGGCGGAAATCGGCGGCTGTACGACGGCGCGCCGGAGTGTGATATTATTCTCTTTTTCCGAGGCTATATACACCCGGGATGCTGGACACGACCAGAGAGAGAGAGAGAGGGGACTGCCTTTTTTCTCCGTGGCACGCTGCGCTAGTACATATGCCTGCTGTTTGGATAAATCTCTTTTTTCCGGTGCGAGGTGCGCTACTTTTTTTTCTTTGGGATGACGATCATTTTTTTTTTTTCTTTTTTCTCGTGTAAAATTCATTAACGACACCGATCGAGCGGTCATGGTCGCCAGATCGAACGTTGAAAAGCACGAGTATAGGGGCGTGCACTGTGCTGTCTGAATTATTATTATTTTTTTTTTTATTCCCCTTTATTCTATAGATTCAGCGTCGCAGTACACGCACGTCAGTCGAAGCCATCCGATCGACGTCTCGTCGGTGGGCGACGGGGTGTGTATTAATTTGCGCGTTACGCGTTTGGCGTGAAATTTATCGGTATATAATGCTTCACCGTACACACGTCAAAATCACATCAAACATGTATTGTGTACCCTTTTCAAGCTCGCACATATATATATATATGTATACACCTCTACCGATCGCGTTGATATTTATTATTCAGTTCGATCGTGCGCGCACAATGCGAATTATTGATATGATAAAACAAAAAATAACTGAATAAATACTTGTTTAATGGTTATCGGGGAAACTGACAAATTCGTATGAATAACGATCACGAAAAAAAATCTCGATGGTTCAGCGCGATATTTTACATCATATGGATATCGTGGCAGTATAATAAAATATGACGAATAAATCATAGTATACATGTGCACGAATCCACGAGCCTGCACCCAAATATCATGTGTATACAATGCCGGCATCGGAGTCACATTCTCCTCAACACGCATGCACCTATACAATACACATGCAATCGTACGGGGCGTCAGTCCTAAGCTCTGGTCCGACCCCTGCAGCCAGAAAGTGGCGGCCCCTCACGGAAAAATTCCATTCGGTCCAAAAGTCGCTCCGCGGGGCCCTGATGGTGCACTGGCCGTCGGACCCCTTCTCCCACTCTCTCATCCTCATAAATTTTTCGTCCGTAATACGCTCCGGCGCAGTCTCATCCCCTATCATTCACTCGTCGTCCCGAAAACCACATAATATAATAATAATAATAATATAGTAAACCGGTTGGCCTATACATTTCTCTTTGGGTCTGTCTATAATATTCCCTCTGTCTCGAATGTTTTTCTCCTATACAAGCGTGGCTGGGATGGCGAAAGTAGTTTCACGACTTTCATCCAAGTTCGGGGCTCTCTATCACAATACATTGCAACTCTTTGAAAAAACGTCGAATTTTGAGGACACACTTTGCATTGGCAAGATGGTGAATTTGGAAAAATTTATCTGTCTTTTACCTATTGTTTTTTTTTTTTTTTTTTTTTTTAGTAAGCAGTAAGCACTGATGTCTATACAGGGCTTGAGAAAAAAAAAAAAAAAATGTACAAGTTGATATGGTACTTTCCAAGTCAACCAATGCATATTTTCTCAAAGTCTCATGGCTCAAGTGTAACCACATGGCGCCGCACACGAATTTCTCACTCTCTGTTTTAACTCGACTATATACAGTGTTCTCGAACCACCTAATGTATACAGCTCGAGCGTATGATTTATCTTCCAAACATCAAACTCACACGAACGTAGTGTGTACCCTAAGATAACAGAGTCCACCGAACTTCAGGGTCAATGATATCGTTCGCTAATGCGTTGTAGAAAAAAAAAAAAAAAAAAAAAAAAAAAAAAAAAAAAAAAAAAAAAAAAAAACAATAATAAATAATCATCCAGCTCATTTTAACCCGTAGTCTACCCACAGCGTAATATATACACACGCACTTGACTGACGCATGCAAGAACGGAACACG